AGGGAAAGAAACACTGATTATGTCAATGACTAGAAGGATAAGAATAACCTATCCCAATCAAAAAAGAATTCAAGTATTTCTGGTTGAGACACAAGCTTTCTAACACCTTTTTCAAAACCAGTGATAACAGTCCACTTAGACAGGACACACTAGTCAGACAAACATTTACCTCCAGTTACAACCACCCAGGATCACAAGTGAAAGACTACAGAAACCGAAATCCCTGTCCCACGCCAGTGACTCCTTATGTGGTACACTGTAAGTAAGCACATGCTTACTCACCCGTTTTAGTCACTGTTTGTGACGGTTTCCTTGTGATGCACTGGGAAGGGAGCAGGGAAGAACAACACTCAAATACGGCTGTATTTAAAAATTTACCCAAAACTTAAGAAAGGTAGGTACAGAAATTGAAACCCCATAGAACGGTCTTAATAATTTTAGCCTAATTCTAGAAAGGGCCTGTGCAAATCTAGCCTCCTTTTACACATCTGTTTTGTACCTCATGTACCTAGAGTCACATTCACTTGCTTTACTGACAAAAATAAAGGTCCCTAATTCAAAACATTCAAGATTTTTATATGCATTCCTCAGTCTCTCTCAAAGACCTTTGCTGAGCCTGCCTGCATACATATTTGGTGACCAAAGAACGTATTTCCAAAGCAGAACTAACCTGCTGACAGTCCTGTACAGCACAAAGGCAAGAAAAAGATGGGGAAATATTCTGTCTCATACAACATCCTTAAAATTACTGATAGAATTCCAACTACAGATTATTTTAGGAATTATCACGTGTTGCAGAAATCTTACTACATCTATTTAACTAATAACTGCTGTAAAACCTGCTAGGAACAGGCCAAAAAGACAAATACCTCATATGCAACTGTTTTGCCCAAGGACTCTTTTAATATGACCCTGTTTACCCAGTGAAAGCTTTTGTGAAGCAATTGGATTTCGAGGATCCCTTGCCTGTTTAAGACACCTTTCACTATGTTCCTTTGGGCTATTCTGAATATGTAACACCACTTGCATATCTATGTTATCTTTCAGCCGACATTCCTAAAATGTTTTCCAAACAGCTGACATGTCATAAATTCCCTTCCTTCCTTTTGTAGAGCAGTACAAAAATTCACCCCCTCCCAGCACCACTTCACAGACACAACTATAGTGTTGCTGTATAGACGGCAACTTCCCTTACAAGAAGAAAATGTCATTTTATCACAAGCTGCCTTTTCTTGGTGTAACTGCATCAGCACCAGGGCTTATGCTAGTTTAGGCAGAGCAAGAAATACACAACTATAAAAAGCTACATTGATATAAAAAACATAAACAGGACAGATGTAATCTACCCAAGGCTCCACTGAGGAACAGAGAGAGTAGCCACATATACAGCAGTCATCCTCTGGTGTTACCCACCTCCTTTGCTACGCTTCCACCATGCCCAACCCCAGCTTGGAGAAAAATTACCAGGAGAACTCCTTCTGGAAAGCTATTATGGCAGTCATAACCTCACAAAAACGTTGCTGTGGAAAATACAAAGGTGTGTGTTAAAACTTGCAGCTCTTCCTGCATGTCTGGTTATGTACAACTCTCCAAAGTGAGTTCAAAATAAGCCCAGTTAGCGAGAAGGAGCAAGCAAGTAGGCAAATAGGGCTCACGGGAACATCATACCTAAGAAAATATTCTGTGCTCTTTTCAAAAAGAGCTGGAGCAAATTATCAAAATTTATTCATTCGCAAATTCAGAGATTACGCGCACTGCATTCAAACCAGATTTAAATTCCTTGTAAATTAATCTTATTGTCATTTTATTAAGTCCCTCTGATATTTTTGTTCTTGGATGGGCTCTTAAAGTCTTTTCCAAAGCAAGACTTTCAACCAAAGAGAGATGATAAGTCTTATTTTCATCCATTATAAATGAAATTTGTCTTAACAAGCACGCCTATAGGTTTTACTCACATTTGCACTCTATACTTCCTGTCCTCATGCACACAGAGTGTAGGAGATGCTGAAAAAATCCTCAGAAAAAATCCTCCATAGTGGGAAAAACAATGGAGAATGGGAATGGGCCTCTCTCACTCCTGTTTCTACTGTTTTCAGTTACTACTACTAACACAGAGTAAATCTGATTGGTAAGGCACTAGGCTTCTGCACAGATCTCAGAGAGACAGCTGCTAGTTTCACAAGATCCAGGCCTTTTGAGCCCAGCACACATCAGGGTTACCATATCCATTCTGCCCCAAGAGAATCCACAAATCACAAGAATCCTACTGCTGCCTGCCCCGGGGGAGTAACAAAGCTGAACAGGACCCCCTGTTTTCCTCCTCCCCCTCTTGTCTCCCAGAAGACCTAGCGGAGGCAGCAGTTGACACCATGGAGAAGCTGGCCTTGAAAATTTATCAGGTAACACTGGCAGTCATGGGTTTGCCTACAGGCAGGGGCCACTTTGCTTCTCTCCAGCTTTTGGTGTGCCAGATCACTTCAAACTGCATGCAAACTTGTAGCTATCCCCTCCTCTCCCCATAGTACAGAAAATGTATCTCATTTCCAGCAAACAACTACTTAAAACCCCAACCACAAAGGAAAACTTAAAAAAAACGTGCTTTCTTACCTCTCTTTGCGGCTCCCCAGCTTGCGGGCTGTATATTGATCCCCATAGTCCACTAAGGACAGATGACGGGAAAAAACAGTAATTTTATTGCCCACAAATAAATCCTCAAGGTGTAAGCTCTCATACTTGGTACGCTTCAGAAAGGTGCGACGGTTCTTCACATCATACTGCAGAGAAAAGAAGATTAAAATCTACCATAGCAGGAGATTTAAGCTGTGGACAAACTAACCACAATTTTTACTCTACCTTCAGAAATTTCCATAGTACCTTGGGATTGAATCTGATCACTAAATTGATTTAATTCCTAGCCCTTTGAACTTACAGGTGTACCAGGAAAGCTTAGAAGACTAAACCCACAATTATAAATTTATTCCATTTAAATAGTCTCAGGCTGACAGCAATCTTTGCATTTTTTATTTTGTCATTTGCTTGTCCTAATTCAAGCTGTGATAAACGGTTCAGGTGCCTAGTGGATACCTCTGCCCAGTCTCACTGAGAGTTCCCCGTAGCAGACCTATGCTGTTTCACAGACCAATGGCTCGCACCAGGAAGCATCAAGATACACACTGTGGCAGGTCTCCTCTTCAGGGCATGGTTCCAATGATACTACGCTTTATTTGACTGCGTAAGACTCAGAATTAGGGACGGATGGATGATTGCAACACTAGGTTGAGACGTTCTCACTGCCTAAAGCTGCAAGCTCAAACGCCTGTCAAGACAATTCAGCTATGTATCATCATTCCAAGCAAGAAGCAAGATGTTAATGTGTAGTTTTCTGGGTGGGCTGGCAAAGCCTGAACAGTTTCTTCACTGCATGTAGATACTACAGATGCCTTCAGTTTCCTGGGGAAGTGGAATCCGAGGAAAGGAAGAGTTTTGTCCTCCTCAGGCCAAACTTCCCCTTCTCTGTCTTGAATTACATGTACTGTCCTCCATTGCAATGGTATATAGACTAGAATAGCATTAAAAGAAAGAACATCATTCCCACAAATTTTGAAGGAAAAAAAAAAAATTAAGAGCAAAATTACATACTCCTCCATGTTCTGAAATGTGTGAATACATTTCTCTCCTGTTAGAAGGCTAGAAGAATTCTAAGTTTTTCCAGAATAGCCAAAATTTTTCAGATCAGAGAATATACGTTATTTTGATACTTCCTTCTGCTGAGGCAGGATTATAAGGAAGAATCCTTCCCTGCTGAAATGTCTTTACCGTCTCATACGTGCTCCTCCTAAGTGTCCTCTATTCAAGTGCAGTAGGGAATGAAATGACAACATGCTGAAAAAAAACCCTCAAATTCAGCTACTTGTTTTTTCCTGGACTTTGCCAGGAAGCCCGTTAACTGTATTGACCATATTCAAATTCTTCAATATCTTGACTAAAAATCTGAAAATTTCCTTGGTTATTTCACTAACAGTTGCTAGAAAGGCACCCCAAGCTGTTTCTCCCTTCTCAAGCAGAAGACAAAGATGCAGGGGGAGGCTTCTACCTGTGTTAAAGAATTCTTCTTTAGAGTGGAATTTTGGATCTGTTTAAAAGACCTTTTTATAAAGCGAATGAAAAGCCACAGCAGAAGAAATATAAGACTGTTTGGACTCTTGCCCTCCTGCCCATGTACATGTAGAAGTAAATTACCCAAAACAAAACAGTTCTCTGCTAAGAATCTGTCCTTTTTAAATATTTCTTCTCTCTTCTTAGGAAATCTCCTGCAGAAAGACAAGTTGTTCAGGCTTTAAGAATTCCCCATGAGAGTTACTAACTATGGAAGATTCAGAGAATGAGGCATCTCTTTGTCAAGAGATCCAGTTTGATCATAAGATCTGTCTCCCACAGCATTCTCCTGGAGAAGCTGGCTGCTCACGGCTTGGATGGGTACACTCTACGCTGTGTTAAAAACTGGCTGGACGGCCGAGCCCAGAGAGTGGTGGTAAATGGAGTCAAATCCAGTTGGCGTCCGGTCACAAGTGGTGTTCCCCAGGGCGCAGTACTGGCGCCGGTCCTGTTCAATATCTTCATTGATGATCTGGAGGAGGGGATCGAGTGCACCCTCAGTAAGTTTGCAGATGACACCA